TCTAAACGTGCACAGCTGTACGTATGCAGAGACATCTATGATGACATTTCTGTATCTATAAATTATATGTAGGAACATACTCTAGATATAAATTAAAAGGCAGTATTGAAAACACTCGCCTGCTTTACTTTTGATGGCTTGAGGAAACTCCCCATTTCCTTGGCACCTGGCATGCACTTTTACTAATATATTGCTTTACATATGTTTAAAGTTCCAGTCATCTGCTATGTATTTGTTGTTAATAATTTGCACATTTTTTTTTTTTTGTGCATGGTGTATTTGTAGCCATGCCAAGTGGTCTTGCCCTAAAGTGTACCTGTTACCTAAAGGAAAACTATAGTTTTATTTATATATATATATATATATATATATATATAGTATATATATATATATATATATATATATATATATATATATATATATATATATATATATATATATATATATATATATATATATATATATATATATATATATATATATACCCTGAATAATACCAGTACTTCTATTAATAATAATCTGCTGTATATATATTTAAATAAAATCTAATTAATGTTTGCATATTAATAATGAAATACATAATTTCTTTTGTTTTTTTATTTTCTGATTTTTAAAAAATCTGGGGGGGGGGGGGATTTTTATATATATATATACTGACCTAATATCCAAGTACCGCCCAGCACGCACACTCAGCTCCTCACAAGACCTCCTTTTCTCTAGTTCCCTGGTCTCCTCCTCCCATGCCGACCTCCAGGACTTCTCCAGGGTGTCACCCATCCTCTGGAACTCCCTGCCCCAACCCATCAGATTATCAGCTACTCTCCTCTCCTTTAGGCGCACCCTGAAAACCCATCTCTTCAGGGAAGCCTACCCTACCCCCTGCTAACTTGCACTCCACTCTTCCTACCACTCCATCCCCCACAGCTATCTCCTCTTGTACCACTATCCCCTCCCTCCTAGATTGTAAGCTCCAAAGAGGAGGGCCCTTAATCCCCTCATGTTTTGCATTGTATTGGTATTGTTCTGTCACATGTTCTGTCACTCTTTGTAATGTACAGCGCTGTGCGAACTATTGGCGCTTTATAAATACTGTAAAATAATAATAATAATTTATATATAAACAGGAAATTAGAAAATATTAAATATTTGTGTTTTTGTGCCAGTTTTTAAAGGCTTGCATTTTTTGATAAAGGAAGCTCATTATTTACACAGCTCAGTGACTTTTCACCAGTGATTCGCAAGCTCAGTCCAAGGTTTCAATCAGACAAATTCTGCCTCAAAGCAAGTTGCTGCTGCTAGGTACAGTCAGGTCCATAAATATTGGGACATCGACACAATTCTAAAATTTTTGGCTCTATACACCACCACAATGGATTTGAAATGAAACGAACAAGATGTGCTTTAACTGTAGACTTTCAGCTTTAATTTGAGGGTATTTACATCCAAATCAGGTGAACGGTGTAGGAATTACAACAGTTTTGCATATGTGCCTCCCACTTTTTAAGGGACCAAAAGTAATGGGACAGAATAATAATCCTAAATCAAATTTTCACTTTTTTAACACTTGGTTGCAAATGCTTTGCAGTCAATTACAGCCTGAAGTCTGGAATGCATAGACATCACCAACGCTGGGTTTCATCCCTGGTGATGCTCTGCCAGGCCTCTACTGCAACTGTCTTCAGTTCCTGCTTGTTCTTGGGGCATTTTCCCTTCAGTTTTGTCTTCAGCAAGTGAAATGCATTCTCAATTGGATTCAGGTCAGATGATTGACTTGGCCATTGCATAACATTCCACTTCTTTCCCTTAAAAAACTCTTTGGATGCTTTTGCAGTCTGCTTTGGGTCATTGTCCATCTGCACTGTGAAGCGTCCAATGAGTTCTGAAGCATTTGGCTGAATATGAGCAGATAATATTGCCCGAAAACACTTCAGAAATTCATCCTGCTGCTTTTGTCAGCAGTCACATCATTAATAAATACAAGAGAAGCAGTTCCATTGGCAGCCATACATGCCCACGCCATGACACTACCACCACCATGCTTCACTGATGAGGTGGTATGCTTAGGATCATGAGCAGCTCCTTTCCTTCTCCATACTCTTCTCTTCCCATCACTCTGGTACAAGTTGATCTTGGTCTCATCTGTCCATAGGATGTTGTTCCAGAACTGTGAAGGCTTTTTTAATGTCGTTTGGCAAAACTCTAATCTGGCCTTCCTGTTTTTGAGGCTCACCAATGGTTTCCATCTTGTGGTGAACCCTCTGTATTCACTCTGGTGAAGTCTTCTCTTGATTGTTGACTTTGACACACATACACCTACCTCCTGGAGAGTGTTCTTGATCTGGCCAACTGTTGTGAAGGGTGTTTTCTTCACCAGGGAAAGAATTCTTCGGTCATCCCACCACAGTTATTTTCCGTGGTCTTCCGGGTCTTTTGGTGTTGCTGAGCTCACCGGTGCGTTCCTTCTTTTTAAGAATGTTCCAAACAGTTGTTTTGACCACGCCTAATGTTTTTGCTATCTCTCTGATGGGTTTGTTTTGTTTTTTTCAGCCTAATGATGGCTTGCTTCACTGATAGTGACAGCTCTTTGGATCTCATCTTGAGAGTTGACAGCAACAGATTCCAAATGCAAATAGCACACTTGAAATGAACTCTGGACCTTTTATCTGCTCATTGTAATTGTGATAATGAGGGAATAACACACACCTGGCCATGGAACAGCTGAGAAGCCAATTGTCCCATTACTTTTGGTCCCTTAACAAGTGGGAGGCACATATGCAAACTGTTGTAATTCCTACACCGTTCACCTGATTTGGATGTAAATACCCTCAATTAAAAGCTGACAGTCTGCAGTTAAAGCTCATCTTGTTCGTTTTATTTCAAATCCATTGTGGTGGTGCATAGAGCCAAAAATGTTAGAATTGTGTCAATGTCCCAATATTTATGGACCTGACTGTATGTAGGCAAGAGTGTTGATTTTTTTTTTCTTCTGCTCGGTTGATTTGCTTTCTGCACTTTTTGCTTTTAAAGCACAATGACAAATGAAAATAATTATTTATGTCCATATAGAGGGAATGTATGTAAGCAGAATGTTGATTCCATACATCAAAATCCAGAAATGTAATAATTATAAAATGCATAAATTGCTACACACATAGGTGTAAACCAGGCGTAATGCTACAAAGACATTCTAGACAATCGAGTGCTTCCAAACTTGTGACAACAGTTTGGGGAAAGTTCCTTTTCTATTCCAGCATAACTGTGCCCCTGTGTACAAAATCCATAAGGACATGGTTTGATGAGTTTGGTGTAATGGAACTCAAGTGGCACAAAATTCTGACTTCACCTACGGAACACCTTTGGGATCGTTTGAAAGGTGGCTTGCGAGCCAGCTCCTCCTGTCCCACATCAGTACCTCACCTAACAAATACTTTTTTGGCTGAATGGGTACAAATTCCACTGACACAATCCAAAATTTTGTGGGACGGCTTCCAGAAGGGTGGAGGCTGTTATAGCCGCAAAGTGGGAACCAACTCTATATTAATGTCCATGCTTTTGGAATAGGATATCCAACAAGCTCATGAAGATATAATGATGAGGCTGCCACAAACGTTTGGCCATTTACTGTATATGACTCTTTATAGTATGGAAAACTCTTACCTTTACCAAAAAAAAAAAATGAGATCAGCTGCTTCCTCTGGTTTGGCCCATCAATAGACTGCCTACACCCATGGTCAGGGCCGCTGTTAAAAATCACGGGGCCCCATACAGCCTACTTGACAAGGCCACTCTGATCCCGTTATGTGTCTCCCCTTGCAGCACCTGAAAGCCGGTGGGAGGGAGAGGGTAAAAGGCTGGCTTTCCACAATCCAATTCTCCCTGGCTAGATAACTGCTAAATTCCCCCTGGCTGTCAGCTGCCAGGCCCTTGCTGAACTTATGGGGTGCAAGTCCCCTTATTAGTGGCCCTGCCCATGGTTCTCAACTTTAAAACCAGTGCCCAGCAAATTGTTTTAAATCTTCCATGCCTCAAGAGAGAAAAAATGGTATTCTTGCATTAAAGAATTATGCAAATTATTGGCATGCAAAATATATATTGAAATGCTGGAAGACACTATGCGTGGGTAAGTCTCTTTTCTCTGGGGGTTGGGGGTACTGAAGGAGGCTAGAGGACTTTGTAGCAGATTCTGTGGCCCTTTATGGGATGAGGCTTCTGTAGAGAGCTGGGGCAACTGTGGGGGATGGGGTCTCTAAAGGAGGCTAGAGGTCTCTCTAGGAAGCTGCAGATTTTGCGGGGGCACTATGGGAGACTGGAGGGCACTGCGGGGGGCTGGGGTACACTGTGATACACTGTTGGAGATTGAGGGCACTGTGAGGGGCTGGGGTGTCTACAGCAAGCTAAGGGCACAGCAGGAGTCTGAGGTTAGTGTAAGAGGTTAAGCAGCACTATGGATGCTAAGGGCTTTAAAGGGACCTGGAGTAACAGTGGGAGGTTTAGGGGCACTGTGGCCCACTAGGGCAGGCTGGGTGGCACTATGGGAACTGGGAGGCACAGTGTCAGGTCAAGTGATTTGCAGCTAGTTGGAGGCCTGGGAGGAGGGAGGGCCATGGCTAAGGGCTTTAAGGGGGCCTAGGGTAACAGTCAGAGATTGAGGGGCACTGTGGCTCGCTATGGGAGTCTGGAAGGCACTATGGGAACTTAGTGGCACTGGGGCAAGTTACGTGACCTGCACCTAGTTGGAGGCCTGGAAGGAGGGGTGCCTTGGCCTGGCAGTGGAGCCACAGCCCAGTGGTTGAGAGCCACTGCCCTACACAATCTATTGATGTCCAATGTCCATGTCTACTTTTCTTCTAGGCCACTGGTTCCTCTTGAGTTGATAGGCTGCATCTTTATGACATCTCTTTAAACCATTAACTGTCTACCTCCATTGTATTCAAATGGCAGGTAATCTTTAAAAAAACCACCTTTCATAATTATTTGGGTTGTACCTGAAAACCCCCAATTCATAGTCCTAAGATGCACCTCATGGGTCTTACCTGTCTTTCCGTGAGATCCAGGTTTACTGCTATTTCATATCGCCTCAACCTCGTCAGGTAGTTGTGGTGGGCAAACTCGGCCTCCAGTTCCCTTATCTGCTCTTTGGTAAATGCCGTCCGCTCTTTCCGAGGTTTACTGTTTACATCGGATTTGTAGCTTCCCTCCTGGGAATCTGTCAAATGAGAAAAATAAAATCATTTGTATGTGTGTATTTTTCTGCAAAAGATGTTTTCAAATCAAACACAGATGGCGGATAAACTGAATGTTAGCAATTTTTCTTAAGTTGGCTTTAATATGGAATAACTGATTTTTTTTTTTCATTAAAAACACATGACTGTTATCCAAAGTAAACAATAAATACAAATGCAATAATAATCCTGGATATTCAGAGCTCCTAAATCGAAGGTACCCATGTAAATTGATTCAATAGAGAGGTTTTCACCTTGGTTTCCAATGTATGGGTATGTTCATTTGCAATGATTACGTTGAATGCCTATCAATGAACAATTAATGGGTAACTCCACTTTCGTAGGAAAAAAAAACGCAAATAAAAAAAAGTAATATAATGTATGTAGCACTACCCCTTTAGGAGTCGCTGAGTTTTGGGTCCCCCAGAAGCTCTGCACAGCCAGGCAACATGCATTTTTCCATACTTTGCATTCAAAGTCAGTGAACGGTCCTTGAGCTTGGTTTTATGTTTTTTTTTTAATTAGGGGTTTGAAACTTAGATGGGGTCTAGGAGTGTATGGGATTCCCGAGAAACTGTAGAACTTGAGGACAACTACTTAGCAACTATGTACAGAAACACATATAGCAACAGTCTCTTTGGTGTACCTCCTCAGACCCCAGATGAATCCTCCTCTCCAACCAGCTGTACTAAGGGTATCCCTGAACAAGGGGGTCCCAAGAGCTTGCAGTTAAGTAGTCCTAAAATGAAGACTAGTTGGGTCTTGCACCTGACCGCCCTCCCCCCCTGAGGGTATGAACACTGTCCATTTCCTGCTTGCTTGTTGGGTTGGTGGCTGCCTTCAGGCCTTATGCTGGGCTGTCTCTTTCCCCACTTCACAGGACCGTCCTCCCAAGGAGATGATGAACAGAAGAAATCCTCCCTTCCAGAATCCTGCCTGCAGGTGAGCTCCCCTCCCTGGGGCCCTCCCCCAGGCTCCTCACTCCAGCCTTCCTCTCAGTCCATCTTCCACCTGACACTCTCTTCTGCTCCCCAGGCTCTGCCACATTTGAGGGTTGCCCTGGTCACCATGCTCGGCCTCCTGCCAGGGGATTGGCCAGAGTCCCTCAAACATGCAGATCAGGTCTTCCTCCCCTCCTACTCCCCTCTACCAGAAAGTTCTCTAAGTTTCTGTAAGGGTGGGAGGGCTCCAGAAGCCCTGACCTGTTAGAGCTTCCCAGCCTGTCCACAGGTGAACTCCTGCCTCACTCCCAGGCTGACTCATTCCAGGCTGTTACTCAGCCTTTGTCTAAAAAAAAAATAAAAAAAATAAACAGCCTATCTAGCTAACCTGGAGGGCGTCACACCGTTTTTTCCCGTATAAGACGACTCCCTACTTTTCCTGTTAAAATATAGGGTTTGGGCTATACTCACCGTATAAGACTACCCCTCGTTTCCAACGCACACCAAATAAAAATTAAAAAACATCAGATTTGATTTCAATATGGTATTGTATTCCAATGATGGGGCACTATTCCTCGCTCTGATACCAATGATGGGGCACTGTTCCTCCCACTGACACCAATGATGGGGCACTATTCCTCCCCCTGATACCAATGATGGGGCACTATTCCTCCCACTGACACCAATGATGGGGCACTATTCCTCCCACTGATACCAATGATGGGGCACTATTCCTTCCACTGACACCAATGATGGGGCACACTATTCCTCCCACTGACACCAATGATGGGGCACTATTCCTCCCACTGATACCAATGATGGGGCACTATTCCTCCCACTGACCCAATGACACTTGCTGACCCCTGTTTCAGTATGGTACCTGCAGCCAGCATATGTGGTTGCAGCAGCACCTCTGTACTGCACTGCGGGGTCCGCTCAGCTCCGCCTCCTCGCCCGTGATTGGCCGCCTGTGTGCCTTTCCTGAGCTACAGTTCTGGCGGCCAATCACCGGTGAGGAGGTGGAGCCGAGTGGCAGGAGTGAGGGAAACTGAAGGAGCAGTGCTTCCTGGACTGGATCGTCGTGGGAGCCAGGTAAGAGACAGCAGCCCACTGCCCACCCCTGCTTAGTGTCCCTTCCATCGGAAGGGGGGGGGGGGGCGGCGGGCGGCACCGCGCCGTCCCCTAAAAAGTGCCGCCCTGATGTATAGACGACGACCCCCGACTTTTGAGAAGATTTTCAAGGGTCAAAAAGTCGTCTTATACGCCGGAAAATACGGTAATTACTACATAGGTCATATTGCATATTGGTGTATGAAACTTCCCCCCAGAAATGTCATTTCCTGCTTGTGTGATTGGCTCACTGATTTTCCCAGAAGTCTGCGCTAAGATACAAATAAGATTTTGAGCATCCCCTGCAACAACAATGTCATTTTTGGTGAGGTACTTCCAAAGGGATGCAGAGCCTGTCACTTTCCTCATTCAAACCCTGCAAGGGCAGGAGCTGATTAATAATCATAAAGCCCCTCCCATTCACATTCACTTTGCACATGGACACAGAGAAACAAAAGTTTGTTATAATCCCTGCAATGTACATAGATCACCCAGAGGGAAATGTTATTTTTTTTTTTTTTTTTCTCAGCAATGAAAGTGGAGTTGATCTTTAAGTGAATGCATTAAAAATGTGCATTTGCTTGGCGTTTAATATCAACCATTGCTGATTTCCTCAAATGCTAGTAATCCAGCTGTATGTTGGCCATCTGGTCTTCTAAAGCTTGAATCCAACATTTCTTTGCTCCCGCCACTTTTTTTTAACAATCCCTTCATACATACCTAAGGTTAGGTCCACAGCACCCTATGCTCTAAGATGTAAGAAGGGCTTAATGCAGCGTGGCCCCATTGACTGTAATGGCCAAGTTTGAAAAGTGTTGCAGCTTTTCAACTCAGCATGCCATATTCAATTTTCCCCTGCCGCAAAGCAAAAAGCTGTGAAAGGCCTCCTCCAGCTGTATTTTGTTGTGTGGTTGTTACCACAGCTCAGTCGCTTGTTTTTACCTACCCCCAGCCACGAAAGAGGACTTCTGCCGTCTTCTGGTCCATCTGGTGACATTGAAGGCCCTTCTTCTTCTTTTGCGGTAATGGTGGTGAACTGTCCTTACTCCTGGACAGTGTGGAGCTCACGTAACAATAATATACTGTCCAAGAGTACTGGGAGCTCAGGTCAGCGTGATGACGTGCCCTCAATGGTCAAATGTCCTTGGTGACCCAAGTTCACAGCCAGTGGGCTCAATGATGAGAGTAGAAGAGTTTGGCCCTGGATCAGAGAGTGTGAATCAGTGGCTGATAGCAGCGAAGAGGAGGTATTGCAGCAAGAGTTTATTTCTTTATTTCTTTATTCAATGCTCGATTAGATAGTAAAAAAAAATATGAAAAGTGGAATTGGGCTGTATTACTATTGTTCTTGCTGATCTAGCACATATATGCAGATCTGACAATTTAGAAGTACTTATTTGCCCATTTATTTTGGGTCAATGGCCCAAGGTATTAAGGAAAGAAGGTCAACAAAGCAGCCAGATAGTTATCAATTTCAGAAGAAGAGATCGCATTAGGATTCCTTTGAAGCTGGCTAAGGATAACCTAGAGCAGTGGTTCTTAACCTGGGTTGATCGAACCCCAGGCGTTCGGATGTGAGTCAGTCCGGGGGTTCGGCGGAGGGTGACCCACACCCGACTCATATGATTTGTGATGACATGCCCCGCTTGTCCATCATTGGCTGCAGGTGGTCACGCAATGCGCTTAGCCCAGTGGTCGGCAAGAGATGCCGGGGCTGACTCAAAGCATGATTGGCCAGTCTCCTGATCATCCTGATCAGTGGGTTGTCCAAGGCGGGGCAGCGTGACAAACGTGAGAGGAGCTAGGCTCCTCCAGAGTCCGCCTGAAGACGGAACGGCGCGGTAATACAGCGAGAGGAACGCGCGGAGCAAAGGTAGTGAATTGACCCTTAATATGGGGGATGAATTAATATGGGGGCTATAGGGGGGATGAATTACCATGAATTACTATAATGTATTACTATATGGGGGATGTATTACTATATGGGGGATGAATTACTATATGGGGGATGAATTTACTATGAGGAGGGATGAATTACTATGGGGGATGAATTACTATATGGGCGATGAATTACGATATGGGGGCCAATTTTGAATTACTATATGGGGGATGAATTACTATATGGGGGATAAATTACTATGGGGGATGAATTTTCATACCGTTTGTTACAACATATCTTTGTGAGCAATCCTTTTCGAGGATGCTGGACATAAAGACGAAGAAAAGGAACAGACTTTGTTGCGAAAATGACATGAGAGTGCACTTGCCAAAGTAATGCCGACATTTCTGAACTGGCCTCTGAAAGACAACAGCAGAAGTCACACTGATTTGCGGTAAATATTCATTATTTTGTTTTTGTGTGAAAATCATGGTTTTGTTCATTTTGTGCACCTATGTATAAATATATACCTATGTTTTGAATTTTAAAAATCATATTTTTATTTTTCCAATTAAGAAGGGTTCGGTGAATGCGCATATGAAACTGGTGGGGTTCAGTACCTCCAAAAAGGTTAAGAACCACTGACCTAGAGAGTATTACACCAGGGGTGCTCAACCTGTGGCCCTCGGATGTGGCCCTTGACAAGAGAAATGCATGCCCATGCACTGAGATGGCTGCTCAGCAAGCCCAGATCATGATCAGTGGGTTGCCAACCTGCCGTCCCAGAGTGCATGGAGCCGGCGCTGGCAGCGGAGGAAGCAGGTAGCCCTGGAAGGTGGCAGGAGCCACATAAGCCAATACTTCCTCTGTAGGAAGACATCTTCTTTTCTAGCAGCCTGGATTGTGATGCCAACAGAAGCTGGAAGAGGAAAGGTCAGTGTCAGGGGCGGACTGACCATTTGGAAACTCGGGCACTGCCCGAGGGCCCGGGGTCAGTAGAGGGCCCCATG